AGGATCGTTAGCTCTTCTTGTTGCATTGATCCTTTTACCATTATGTAATGCCCTTCTTTGTCTCTTTGGTTCTTTGTTGGTTTAAAGTCTATTTTATCAGAGACTAGGATTGCAACTCCTGCTTTTTTTGCTTTCCATTTGCTTGGTAAATCTTCCTTCATCCCTTTATTTTGAGCCTATGTGTATCCTTGCATGTGAGGTGGGTTTTTTGGATACAGCACACTGATGGGTTTTGACTTTTTATCCAATTTGCCAGTCTGTGTCTATTGAGTGGGGCATTTAGCCCATTTACATTTAAGGTTAATATTGTTATGTATGAATTTGATCCTGCCATTTTGATGCTAGCTGGTTGTTTTGCCCATTAGTTGATACAGTTTCTTCATTGTGTCGATGCTTTTTACCATTTGGTACATTTTTGGAGTGGGTGGTACTGGTTGTTCCTTTCTGTGTTTAGTGCTTCTTTCAGGAGCTCTTGTAAGGCAGGCCTGGTGGTGACAAACTCTCTCAGCATTTGCTTGTTTATAAAGGATTTTATTTCTCCTTCACTTATGAAGCTTAGTTTTGCTGGATATGAAATTCTAGGTTGAAAGTTCTTTTCTTTAAGGAAGTTGAATATTGGCCCCCACTCTCTTCTGGCTTGTAGGGTTTCTGCCGAGAGATCTGATGTGAGTCTGATGGGCTTCCCTTTGTGGGTAACACGACCTTTCTCTCTGGCTGTCCTTAGCATTTTTTCCTTCATTTCAACCCTGGTGAATCTGATGATTATGTGCCTTGGGGTTGCTCTTCTTGAGGAATATCTTTGTAGTGTTCTCTGTAGTTCCTGGACTTGAATATTGGCCTGCCTTGATAGGTTGGGGAAGTTCTCCTGTATAATATCCTGAAGAGTGTTTTCCACCTTGGATTCATTCTCCCCGTCACATTCAGGTATACGTATCAAACGTAGATTAGGTCTTTTCACACAATCCCATATTTCTTGGAGGCTTTGTTCATTTATTTTCACTCTTTTTTCTCTAATCTTGCCTTCTCATTTTATTTCATTGAGTTGATCTTCAATCTCTGATATCCTTTCTTCTTGATCAATTCAGCTATTAAAACTTGCATATGCTTCGCGAAGTTCTCTTGTTGTGTTTTTCAGCTCCATCAGGTCATTTATATTCTCTCTAAGCTGTTTATTCCTGTTAGCATTTTGTCAAATCTTTTTTCAAAGTTCTTAGTTTCTTTGCATTGGGTTAGAACATGTTATTTTATCTCACATAAGTTTGTTATTACTCACCTTCTGAAGCCTGTTTCTGTCAATTCGTCAGACTCATTCTCCATCCAGCCTTGTTCCTTTGCTGGTGAGGAGTTGTGATCCCTTAGAGGAGGCGAGGCATTCTGGTTTTGGGTGTTTTCATCCTTTTTTTGCTGGTTTCTTCCCATCTTTGTGGATTTATCTACCTGTGGTCTTTGTAGTTGGTGACTTTTGAATGGGGTCTCTGAGTGGATATCCTTTTTGTTGATGATGAAGTTATTTCTTTCTGTTTTTTTGTTTTTCTTCTAATGGTCAGGCCCCTCTGCTGTAGGACAGCTGGAGGTCCACTCTAGACTCTGCTTGCCTGGGGATCAGCTGTGGCGGCCACAGAACAGTAAGGGTTGCTGCCAGTTTCTTCTGTTATCTTGGTCCCAGAAGGATAGCTACCAGATGTCAGCCTGAGCTTTACTTTATGAGGTTTCTCTGTGGATATATGGGGGTTAGGGAGCTGCTTGAGGAGACAGTCTGACCCTTATAGGAACTCAGCTGCTGAGCTGTGAGCTCCGTTGTTTTGTTCAGAATTGCTGGGCAGGTACATTTAAGTCTGCTGCAGCAGAACTCATAACTGCCTTTTTTCCCAGGTGCTCTATCTTGGGAAGGTGGGTCTTTATTTATAAGTTCCTGACATGCTGCTGCGTTTTTTCAGAGCTGCCCTTCCCAGCTAGGAGGTAGCCTAGTCACAGTCTGCCAGCAGAGGAGTTGCTGAGCTGCCATGGGCTCTTCCCAGCTGCTGTGTGAACTTCCTTGCGGTTTCGTTTATAGAGGTATAGTTAGAACTGCCTCAGTAATGGCAGTCTGCCTTAGTAATGGCCGACTGCCTCTGTAATGGCAGACTGCCTTGGTAGTGGCAGACTGCCTTGGCAATGGCAGATGCCCTTCCTCCCACAGAGTGGGACCGTCCTGGGTCCAGCTGCACTTGTGAAACTCTCAGTCCTGAGCATTTCATATTACTGGTCTTTGTAGGGATGGGACCCGCTGAGCCAGATCACCTGGCTCCTTGTTTCAGCCCCCCTTTTTTCAGTTGAATGGGTGGCTCTGTCTCCCAGGTGTTGCAGGTGCCAGTTGAAATGGCCGCCCAGATTTGTGTGAGTTTTTGTGCGGAGACCTGCTGCGTTGGCTGAAACGGCTGTGCTGGAGACTTGTAGTGCTTTTCAGCCTGTGAATCTCCTGGTCTTTGGGCAGTAATAACTCGTTTGGAAATGCGATCATCACTCACTGTCTGCATTGTTCTCGCTGGGAAGCTGCACTCCAGAGCTGTTCCTATTTGGCCATCACTATCCATTGTGATTCTGAAATATCCTTGGTGACTCAAAATACTTTTCCATTGCCTGGGGCTGCTTTGGTGGCTTTCCCTCACCCTTAAAATCCAACCCCCTGACTCTGACTTAGGGGGCCCTTTGTGTCATCTCCCCACTCTCCCTTGCTGACTTTACTCTGGACCTGCGTGTTCTTCCTTGGCCACGGTGAGCTCACAGCCTCTAACTGGAATGCTGCGCATCCTCATCCTTGAGGGTCCCTCCTTGACCTCACTGAGGTCTCTTCTCACAGTGCCTCCCCTGACTACGTTCCAGCTCTCTTCTCTACTTACTTTTCATAGACCTTACTAATAGCTGAAATTAATATTTTTTTCACTTGTCTTATTCACTGTCTTCCCCACCAGAATTTAAACTCTACTAGATTACAAACCCTAGTAGGGTTTGGAGCAGGGTGTATGTCCCGTTTGTCTAATTTCTTTATTCTCAGCACCTAGAACAGGGTCTACGTAGTAGGTGCTCAAAAAAGAGTGAACTTGAGCAAGGCATTTAATGACACATTTGAATACCATGTGTCACATTATCTTGGCACACAAAATGTTGAGGAGATGTTGGCAAGTTGTTGGTCAAAGGATGTAAAATTTCAGTTAGATAGAATAAGTTCAAGGGATCTCTCTGTGCAACATAGTGACTATAGTTAATGACAATGTATTTTATTCTTCAAAATTGCCTAGAGAATAGGTTTTATGTGTTCTTGCTGAGGGAATGTGTTCTCTTTCCAGGTCCACAAGGGGGCGTAGTTTTAAGGGCAAGAACTGCCCAGTGCCATTCCCCTCTTCCATGTCTCTCCATCCTGGATGGGAAAGGGTCAAAAGTTAATCACTCCAGTGGAAGTTTAAGGGAACTCTTTTCACTGGCCAGGGAACTTGGAGAAGGTGGGAATTCCCCCCATGTTAAAAGTCCCTGTTTTCCTCTTCTGGGCAGATTTCCCCCCTGGGGTCCCCTTCTGCACTCTTCGTGGAAGCCTTTTTCTCTCTCCTTTCTCTTTTTCTTTACCTGAATAAATCACATTCTGCAAATACTGTTTTGGGGTCCAATATTTACTTTATGAGTGCACCTGCTGTGGTCCCCTCTCTCATTCTTGAGATAGCAGGAGACCCAAGAGCCTGGAGCCCACCAGGAAGTGAGTTGAGTGCTCTCCTGAACCCCAAAACCCCAACATCACCACACAAAATGAATATGTGAAGCAATACAAATGTTAGTTAGCTTGGCTTAGCCATTCTGTAATATATACATATTTTAAACAACATACTGTTTTGGGGGGGGTTTTCTTGGATACAGGGTCTTGCTCTGTCACCTTAGGTGGAGTGCGGTGGCACTATTATCATAGCTCATTGCAGTCTCCAACTCTTGGGTTCAGGCAATCCTCCCACCTCAGCCTCCCAAGTAGCTAGGACTCCAGCCCTGTGCCACCACACTCAGCTAATTTTTTCAATTTTTATTAATATTTTTAAAGAGATGAGGTCTTGCTGTATTGCCTGGGCTGGTCTTGAACTCTTGGCCTCAAGTCATGCACCTCTCCCTCCCAAAGTGCTGGGATTACAGGTGTGAGCCACCACACCTGGCCAAATATATACAATTTTTATTTGTCAATTAAAATAAATAAATACATACATACAACTTGGAAAAAATGTTCAAAAGGCAAGTAATTCTGTATAATCCGTTTGCCAATAAAAGACCATAGTTGTATATGACCCTCCTGCCTTAGTCTTCAAGTGTATTTATAGCTGCCATTTCATGTTAATAGCTGGCACCTAGTGTGCAGGACCACCCCTCCAGGGTTAATTGGCTTGTTTCTTTTCTCCTAAGCATGACAGACGACGTTTCCTTAAAGATGTCCTTCATGGTAATTAAGAAACCCCGAGATCTCTTGCATTACCTCTTGCCTCTTGTTCAACATGCCCAGTACCAAAGGCATGACAGCCAAGAGAGTGGGCAGCATTTGAACGTTTTTCAAAAATAAAACCTTGGTATATAAAATACATTAGAGAATTCAGAAGGCCAAATGAGTTAAGTGTACTGAAAAGTAAGACCTAGATAGATAAGAGACAGTTGGGAGGCCAAGGCAGGTGTATCACCTGAGGTCAGGAGTTCGAGGCCAACATGGTGAAACTCTGTCTCTACTAAAAATACAAAAAAAAAAAAATTAGCCGGCAGTGGTGGTGCGTGCCTGTGATCCCAGCTACTTGGGAGGCTGAGGCAATAGAATCGCTTGAACCCAGGAAGCAGAAATTGCAGTGAGCCAAGATTGCACCACTGCACTCCAGCCTGGGCCACAGGGAGAGACTCCGTTAAAA